ACTGGGGCTAAGAAAGGGCAGGATCTGGTGATACCTGCACACAGAACTGTAAAAGAAATTCTTGAGCAGTATTCTGGTTATTAAAATTATCCCAGTGTTTTAAATCATAGTTTTTTAACTCATACATTTCTCTCTTTCTGCAAGGGGATGATAGTGATCTTTTCAGGAAAGAGAAGATAAGAAGGAAGATGAGGATAATTTATTTAAATATTCTCTTCATTTTCAGCAGAAGGTATATTTAACTTTCAGAATTTGTTTGCTGTTTTAGAAGAGGAAGAAAAGAGTGGGTGGGGAGTGGGGAGAGGTGGTTCCCCAAAAGGGTATCCCTAGAGCTGGCAAAGACCTTCGCCTTCTGCTGACCCAAACTGGGAGCCAAAGCAAAAATAAAAAAATAAAAAATAGAAGGTAAAGAAACAAAGGGAATCGGCATGCTCTTTTTTAAAAGCCCTGGATATTATACCACACTGATGTCCCTCTCCAAACTCTGCCCTCCCCAGCTTCCTCTCCCAAACCTCCAGAAATTTCCCAAGCCAGAATTGGCAACCCTTAGACAGCTGAACTCCCATCTTCAACTATATTTAGGCCCTGGTCACACAGGCCAGATAACGCGGGGGGGAGGTGTGGCTGTTCGCCCCGGAGCAAAATAAAGCGTGGTAGTCCGATCACACAGTCCCCCGAGTCTCCGTGCTTAGGCTGTTAGCTGACGATCACACGGCGATGCTGCAGTGTGGCAAAGAAGCGGTGCGGCGCGGTGTGATCACACAAGCGTTTTGAATTTGTGCGCATGCGCAGTTCCGTGGAGCAGCACTGCTTTCAGTTTCGTGTTTCTGCGCATGCACTTACAAAAAACATCCGGTTTGCGATGGGACGTGGACGGGCATCGGATGCCACAGGATACTAGCGCTCCCGCGATCAGACGCCTGCCTGTGCCGCGCGTTTTCCGGATACTAGTGCACTTTCCTTGGTACTTTTTAATTCCGCACCTTCGGCAGGATGCCACAGGTTGGCCACAGGTGTGCCATGCTTCCCAGATGTTGCGGTGTGATCGCACCCCGAAAATCCACCCGACATTCGAGCCTTTCACGCGGCAAAATCTCCGTGTGACCGGGGCCTTGTTTAATTTATACACCTTTCTCCACAATGGGGACTCAAAGCAGTTTATACTATTCTCCTCCATTTTATCTTCGCAAAAACCCTGTGAGGTAGGTTAGGCTCAGAGTGCATGACTGGCTCAAGGTCACCCAGAAAGCTTCCAAGGCAGAGTGGAGATTTGAACCTGAGTCTCCCAGATCCGAGTCAGAAACGCTAACTACTACACCACACTGGTTTCTGTGGAGCAGCTGTTGTTGAACAGCAGCCAGCTGCTAGGCCTGGGTGAGTCATGCAAGTCAAGTGGTAGCAAGTTGCCTGGTTATTGCTACTGAATATGGCCACAAGTCCTCCCTCAAGGGCCAAAACAGTTCTCTTTTACTGAGAGAAACAAAGACCTGAATGCTGGCAATACTGCTGTAGCTGCCTAGCAACAGCCATTGAACTCACAGGGCATTTGTTTCTTAAAGCTACAGGTGCAATTCCTATTATTTGGGCAGGGTAACCCCCCCCCCCTTTTTTTAGCATTTCAGATTGTTCTGCAAATCTGGGGCTTTTCTCAGGGTTGTAGAAAGATCTGTCTTGTTTGTCCATGGCTCCAGTGTCCAGATTTAAGTATCCACAGGTGGGGCCTCACTTAGAATTTGATGTTTTGATGATAGGCTGCAGATGCAGGAAGGCTGAAACATGCACCTCTGAAATGTGCGAATAATCAGCGTCTGACACTCACAACTGGAAGAGTTGTTTCAAAGTGGTTTGTAGGCTGCAAGTACCAAACTCAAGAACCTCTAGATGTTTGCTATCGTGGGGTTCAGAGTGGGTCACGACATGTGATAAACAAATCATAACTTAGTTAAAAACATACCGTTTTAAAAATTCTAGACATTTACAGTATCAGATGGTACATAATAAGGCTATGGCACTGTACCAGGGGAAGAAAAGGAGGAGAAAAAGGCATGGAAATCTGTATAGGTGGGAATTCGTCTGACTTCACCCATATGCTTGGCAACACATTTCCATTTCACAGGCCCTGCAGGACTGTACCAAGTCTCACAGGGCCTGGATCTCCTTGGAAGTACACTCCTCCAAGCTGGAGCCATAGCTGAGAAGCCTCTGGCTCTAGTTGAGGCCAGGCAAAGACTCCGTCGTCTTGGGACAACCAGTGTGTTGTTCTCCAGAGAGTGTAGTGCTCTTTGGAGAGAATGCCAGGAGAGGTGATTCCCAAAGGTATGTTGGTCCCAGACCGTGAAAGGTTTTAAAGGTTAAAACCAACACCTTGATCCGGTATTCAATCTGGAGTCAGTGCAGCTGGTGGAGCACCGGTTGGGTATGGGCTCAAACAGGGGTTCCTGTAAGGACTCGCACTGCTACTTTCTGGACCAGTCGAAGCTTCCGGGTCAGCCTCAAGGAGAGCCCTACATAGAGTGAGTTACAGCAATCCAGTCTGGAGGTGACCACTGCATGGATCATTGTGGCTAGGTCAGGGTGAGATAGGAAGGGTGACAATTGCCAGACTTGGCGTAGGTAGAAAAAATGTCAGCCTGGCCACATTTGTGATCTGGGCCTCCACTGAAAGGGAGGGATCCGGAATCACGCCCAGGATCTTCATGGTTGGTACTGGTGTTATAGGAGCATTGTCCAGAGTCAGGAGTTGGATATCCAATCCCAAGACTCCCCTCCCCAGCCATAGGACCTCCATCTTTGATGGATTTAATGTCAGCCAGCTCTGCTTCAGCCATCCAGCCACAGCTTCCTGTCCCCTTGCCAGATTTTCTGGGGTCCTGTCCGGCTGCCCATCCGTCAACAGATACAGCTGGGTGTCATCAGCACACGGGTGACAACTCAGCCCGAAATTCTGTCCCAGCTGGGCTAGGGGATGCGAATAGATGTTAAACAGCATTGGGGAGAGAATAGCCCCACGGGGGACACCACACACCAACGGGTGTCGTGGTGAAACCCTCTCCCCTAGCGCCACTCTCTGTCTCCAGCCTCGGAGAAAGGAGACAAACCACTTCAAGGCTGCCTGTCCCCCGAATCCCCATGGTGGCAAGGTGGTGTGTCGACACATCGTAGTCGACCCTGTTAAACGCTGCTGACAGATCGAGTAACAGCACCAGCGCTGACCTGCCTTGATCCAGATGTCTGTGAGGGCAACTAATGCCATCTCCGTCCCGTGACCAGGGCAGAAACTGGACTGGAATGGGTCCAGTATCGATGCATCCTCTAGGAAACCCTGGAGCTGTTCTGCAGCTACTCTCTCAACTACCTTACCCAGGAACGAAAGGTTCACTACTGGGTGGTAGTTGGCTGGATCCGGAGGATCCAGTGATGGTTTCCTTAAGAGCGGTCGTACCACTGCCTCCTTTAAACTCCCTGGGAAGACCCCTGAATTGAGGGACAGATTTATAATGTCTGCCAGGGGGGCTCATATTCCATCTCCGCTTGGTTTAACCAGCCACGATGGACATGGGTCCAGGAGGCAAGTGGTTGGCTTCATGGCACCCAGGATCCTATTGTCAATGTCCCAGGAGAGCAGGCTAAACTGATCCAATATTGGACCAAGGGGCCTCCAGTTCTCTTACTGTATCAATATTGGTTGGCAAATCCTGGCAGGGCAACAAGATTTTATCTGCAAAAAAGCTTGCAAAAGCCTCACAGCTCATTTCCAAATACTAACCTTTTGGGTACCCTCAGAAAGGGATATCAGAGATATAATTGCCCTAAATAACTGTGCTGGGCAAGAGCTAGTGGACGCGATGGAGGCAACATAAAATTCTTTCTTTGCTGCCTTCACCGCCACTTCATAGGATCTCATAAATGTCCTATAGGATGTTCTTGTAGCTTTGTCACAACTCCGTCGCCAAACTCACTCTAGCTGTCTAAGCACCTGCTTCATCCCTCTAAGGTATACCAAGGAACTAGTTTGGTACAGGGGCAAAGAGGGTGCCAGAGAGCAATCTTGTCGACTGCTTCAGAAAGATGGCTATTAAAGCTTTCACTGTTCTATCACTGGCCAGTTCTCTAAGGACCTGTATATCATCTCTGGAGAGGTTATGTTTAACATGTTTCCTATCCAATTCTACTAATTTCATGTGTAACTAGTGTCTCAAATACAGTGATAGATGGCACTGAAATATTTGTTGAAACTATATTTAATGAGTCACTAAACCATTTCTTAAGTTGAAGTTGTTTGATCAATTTAAAGAGCTCCAAAAATGTCTGAAATGGATTATAATGTGGAGTAGGAACATATCTAGGTCTCAAGTTAAGCAAGAAAATCTCTATGGGTGAAAGGGATCTGGAAGATATATTTATAACCAGGGGTCATTTCGTAGAAAAAGAGGTGTAGGAGCTCATTAGCATGGCTCATTAGCATAACATATTTGCATATGCCACACCCCCTGACATCACCGGAAGTGTGTCAGAAGGCAACACCCCACCACTCAGGCTCCACTGGACTGTTTTGGATTGCTAGCTATTGGGGGGGGGGACTTGCAGAGGAGGGAGAGCTTGTACCTGAATAAAATTTGGTCTTAAAGGTGCCACTGGACTGTTTTGGACCGGGGGGCCAGGAGGGGGGCTCTGCAACTTAGCTGGCTGCTTCTTGCTCTGACTGAGGGCTGCTGGGAGCAGGGGGTGGGGCTTATTGCATGTGCCCGCCCCCTGGGCTCTTTACTGCTGGAGCTCTGCTCCTGTGCGCTCCTGAAGGAAATGACCCCTGTTTATAATTAAGTTTTCTTCTGTCCTCTGTTGCGGGTGGAGCGCTGATATAAAAAATTACCTCTGGTTTGTTGTTTTGTTTTGCAACCTGGATAAGTGTTTGCAGAATCTTCCATTTCTGATGTATCATAGTCAGAGGGCATCTACCTCTGCCTAGTGTCAGCCCAAGTTAATTTACGTTTGTACCTAGGTTCAGGATAATTCCACTTATAACCTCTGTCCTGGGAATAATCCCTTTGGTCTCTCTCAAACTTTTTTATTTTGATTTCTTTAGTTCTTTTTTCAAAGGCTTTAAGCTCTTCTTTAAGTTCTTCTTAAATTACAGTATTGTGTATGTATTATTATTATGTTGTTGTTTTACCTGCTGCTGGTTTTCTCTCTGAGAATGTAGCCGAGCTTGGATGCACTCCCTGGTCTCCTGAAACGCCTGTCTTTGGGACACTTCAGCTGGATAGTGTGTACATACTCCTACGATGTTTGTGCAGGTGAAGATGAGGATGTTGGATACCAGCTGCAATTGGGGTGAGGAGAGGGAGAGAAAGACAGAAAATGTTATATGCCAGAAACCAGAAATACCATGAGATCAAATGTGCTATCCTCTGAATTGTATAAAGTTCTTGTACTTCTCCAACCCACCCAGATACCATAATAACGTAGCATACTTTGCATGCCTTCCTACTATCTTGGTAACACCATCTCGCGGTACAGTATCGTTCATGCTTCTTATGTAATTTTAAAAATTCCCCGCATTATGAAACATGGTAACTTCATTTCCACTTTCACAGCAAACCACAGTTAGTTGTTATGTGTGAATCACAAGTGATGGTTTACTGTTGATCCCCAAACTCAGGACCAAATTATGGTTTGGAGGCAAGAGAACAGGCATAACAACAAATTATGATTTGCTGTGAAAGCAGAATTAATTCCTGAGCTGTGTGTGAACAGAATGCATGAACCAAAGGTTCCCCCCCAGTCCCCCCAGACATGTCCCCATACTGACAAACCATGATTTGTTATTCATTACCTGTGGACCAAGCCATGGTAATAACCACTAGTCTTTCTGTTCCGGAAAATTCTAAACAAGCTGTCAGGAGCCAAAAAGGAAAGCACCGAAGTCCACTAAGAGAGATAAGACTACAACAATTCCTTAGTATTTTCCTAGCAGGTTATCCTATAGGTTAAAAGCTTATGTAAAAAGAAATATTTTGGCCTGATGCCTAAAGGAAAGGAAAGCGGATGGCCAGGGAGCCTCAAGGGGGATAGTACTCCAAAGGCAAGGTGCCACCACCAAAAAGCCTCATCTCTGCAGGTTGGGGGCACAGAACACAGGGCTCAAGGTGAAGATTTCAAATGGCAGGCTGGACAATATGGGACAAGGTGCTCCTTTAAGTACCCGAGGCCCAATAATTTAGGGCCTTACATGTAACAACCAGCACTCTGAATCATGGCCAGAAACAGACTGGGGACTTCAATGGGGTACCTTCCCAAGCAGCCATTTTCTCCAAATGAACTGATTTCTGTCACCTGGAGTTCAGCTGTAATCAATGTTCCCTCTAAGCTTTGGAGTCTAGTGAGCAAAAATTCTGCTTTGTGAGCTACTGGCATTAAAGTTGTGAGTGAGCGATTTGGATGCTGCATAAATTGGTTGGCTCTGGAGTCATCCTTCCTGAGCTAAGACAAAAACGTGTGAGCCAGAGGCTAAAAAACTTTGGGCCAGCTCACACTAACTCATCTTAGGGGAAACACTGTGTAATCCCAGAACATCTCACCCTATGCATAGTGAACCAACTGAAACATTTGAACAGGTTTCAAAGGCAGCTCCACACTGTAGTAATCTAACCTGGATGTGATCAAAGCATGAATGACGTGGCCAAGATCACGCTTTTTGCAGAACAGCTGAATATGTCAATGGAGCATGATTTTCTTGCCTCCCCCTTACCATTGCAACCCCAAATACTCTCCAAAATGCTGCTTCTTCCGAGTGCATTTTGGGCTGCAGTGGGAGGGGGGAGGCAAGAAAACCCCACTCCACAGGCAGAAGTCCTTCCATCTGGGGATCAGCGACATTGAATCCAAACCCTTATGTTTCTCTTCACATATTCCCATGATAATGGGAAAACTGCTCCAAGGGATTACATATGATTGAAGGCCTGTTCACGCACAAAGCGTCTCACCTGAACTGATGCTTTTCCATTTTGGAGCTAATATTTTGCAAACATGGGCCAAGCACATTTTTTTAAATTTTGAAATGAAAGTTGGTAAGCAGTGGTATGATCTAAGATGCTATTTAAATGTTGCCACTTGCCACACACCTTCCTGCTCAATCCCTGGCTATGCAATGCTGTTTCAAATCAGAGAACTTCCCATAATGATGTCTAGTTTGAGCCCTCACTTCTACAGAACTGTTTCAACAATATCCATTCAGAATTTGGAAACAAACAAACATTTAAAGACATTTTTGTGCACTCGAAAGTGAACTTTCAGAAATTGTGGGACCATGTTTTCCCCCTCCACATCCACAGACAGTAGAGCTTTATTTCATTATTGAATGATCTCTCCATGAGCTAAGCATCTAACCCCCCACAGAAGTCCAGTATTACAAGCTGCAATTTAGTCAGAACTTGTTTTTCAGTTGTTCTAGTGTAATACATGGCTACACTCAGTCATTTAAAGATAGGTTCTCAAGATCATTTTACATGGATTAGTGTCCTGAAGGCAACTGAATTTGTTTAAAGAATGCTCCATTTAATTGTTCTTTTGTAGAATCTTAGAAGTGCATTCAGTTTACTGAATCGCCCACTGGCATATCTGTAGAAATTTATTTCTTAAAAAAGCCATTACCATGGCACTTTATGGGAACACTTTAATCTTGGACTGCTAACAATCAGATGCCTTCAGCTGTTGTGTCGAAGACTATGCAAACATTTCAACATGAAAACCCATGACAAATTCAGCAAAGGTTCCCTTGCTCGAAAGCCAGTCGAATCTGACTCTAGGGTTGCGGTGCTCATCTCCGTTTCAAAGCCGAAGAGCCAGCGCTGTCCGAAGACGTTTCTGTGGTCATGTGACCGGCATGACTAAACACCAAGGTGCACGGAACGCTGTTACCTTCCCACCAAAGTGGTACCTATTTATCTACTTGCAATTTCTTGCTTTCGAACTGCTAGGTTGGCAGGAGCTGGAACTAGAGACGGGAGCTCACTCCGTCATGTGGCAACTTGGGACTCGAACTGCTGAACTACTGACCTTCCACAGCCTGCAGTTCAGCGTCTTAACCACTTGAGCCACCGCAGCTCCTTATTTTTTTAAATATATATATATATGTGTGTGTGTGTTATATATATGTATGTATGTATGTATAATTAAAATGTGATGGATGATTATAATTATTGGCACTTAAGTATTTGCATATATGGCATGAAACATTAAAATTGGTTACCATTTCTTCCCGTTCTTTCCCCACATGTTTCAAGGTAGTGTTTCAACTTTTTATATATATATATATATATGAGCTGTGGTGGCTCAAGTGGTTAAGACGCTGAACTGCGGGCTGTGGAAGGTCAGTAGTTCAGCAGTTCAAGACCCGGGTGCCGCATGATGGAGTGAGCCTTCGGTGGGAACCTTCGGTGGGAAGGTAACAGCGTACCATGCGCCTTGGTGTTTAGTCATGCCGGCCACATGACCACGGAAACGTCTTCGGACAGCGCTGGCTCTTCGGCTTTGAAACGGAGATGAGCACCGCAACCCTAGAGTCAGATTCGACTGGCTTTCGAGCAAGGGAACCTTTACCTATATATATATAAAAAAATCTGCCCTCAAAGGGTAGAATTTTATTTGTTTTTTCATAACAGACAAACCAAACATACACACATATAATACAAACGGGGGTATCAAATGCTTAAGTTTCCAATAATTGCCTCTTAGATATTCTCTATCTAGTACAATATCACATATCATTATTTTCTATGAGCTCACATTTTTTGTATCTTGAAACCAACATCTGTACCTGCTATCTCAATGTTCTAACCTATACTTTGCTCTAGGTTACAATCATTTGCGCTATTATACCAATTATAGAAGCGCCTTCATGTGTTCTGAAATGTATAGTTTGTGGATCCTCTTATCAACAATGTCAATTTATCACTTTCCACTGTTTCCATCAGTTTTTTTATATATTCCTGCTTTTTTGGTACATCTTGTACCTTCCAGTATTTGGCATATAGCATTCTTGCTGCTGTAGTAAAGTAGATAATTAAATATCTGTTGCTTTTTTCAAAGTCTTTAGGTAGTATACTCAGTAGCATCCCAATATCTTCTGCATTATTGCATGAATCCATCTCCAGTATCGCTTAGTTACATCACAATGCCACCACTTATGATAAAAGGATCCTGTACTAGATAAACACTTCCAACATTTGTTAGAACACTTAGTATTCCCTTTAGCTTTTCTATCAGGTGTTATATACCATCTGTAAAACATCTTATACATATTCTCTTTAAATGCAATAGCTTTCGTTATCTTAATGTTTTCTTTCTATATTTATTCCCATTGTTCTAATTCAATATTATGGCTTACATTCTGTGCCCATAAGATCATATTAGGTTTAACAGTCTCATCATACATCACATCATTAAGTAAAAAGACATAAGTTCTTTTAATCAGAGTCCACCGAGGTCAGATTTTTTTCCATGTCTGTTAAGTCTTCATAAAAGCCTAATTTTTTATCCTTATTGTACCTGGATTCCAGTTGCATTTTGCGCCACCATGATAGTCATTAAGTTTTTGTTGTCCAGAATATCCTGGTATCTTATTAATTCTTCCCCCTCATGTATATTCGGTAAAGTAAAAGCCTCAAGCGGTGCAATAAGTCTAGAGTTTTTGCTATGAAATCTTTCAAAGATAAAGTCCCAGACTTTCAAAAGTGCTGTGTTTCAACTTTATTTGATGAAAAGGGCCCTTAATCTCATTTTGAGTCCAACTCAACCCTCACGGGTGGTGGATGGGTGGTTCAGTTCCAGGTTCTCTAGGATAAAACTGATTTCTGAGACACATTTCAATCTGTATTTGGACCAGAAGTTGGGACAGAAATGGGATGAAATGGCTGACAGTCTTTGCCGGAGAAGTATGCCTAATGCAGCATACCTGAAACGGAACCCCCAGGGATCTGCAAGTTGTTTGTAAGGGCAGATAGCGAGCCTCCCTCACACTTTTCTAGCTAACCCCTCTCTGTTTCTTGGAATGTGGAAGGGATCTAAATCAGTTTCCCCCTCCTTCAAACAACAGGAGATCATGAAACCACTACTACCCACAGTCATCCAACTTTCAGGTCACCTCAGAGCCCTAGCCAGAATATGTACTGATTGGCTGCGGCATTCTAATAGCTCAGACCTAAGATCTCTATGGTGCTGGAGAAGACTCTTGAGAGTCCCTTGGACTGCAAGAAGATCAAATCAGTCAATCCTAAAAGAAATCAACCCTGACTGTTTCCTGGAAGGCCAGATAATGAAACT